GGTACCTTATTTTGGGGGTCCTTGTAATGAGGCTTTAATAAGGAACCTACTATTTAGGGTACTATATTAGGGTCCCCTACTTTCGGAAACCCCCAAATCCTTCAGCCCGGCAAACCAACTGTCGGCAGTTCTAGACCTTGAGACCTTACATATTAAGCAGTTGGAACGATACGGAGAAGTTTAGCATGGCCCTTGCGCAAGGATGATGCGCACACACCGAGAAGTGTGCCGAAACACGAAAACCTGAAACCCTTCAAAGACCTTCCACCATTAACCCTAGACGCCATAATTCCTTGAGGCCCGAAAACCTTAGACCCTAAAGCCCTCGGTACTTTTAGGGTTTAGGGTTCAGGGTTTCTCAAACCCCCAGTCCTCCACCGTCAAACCCGAAAAGGTACTTGAAACTGCCTCGGCGGCCGCAGCAGCAGAAGTAAGCGAGGACCGAAGAATCCTGGTACCTGCTTAGAGGCTTTAAGGCTAGGAGTTCGGGTTATAGGAGTGCAGGGTTTATGGGATATTATAGGGGCCTGACTAGCTACCTATACTATTTTGGGGACTCCTTAGTATAATTATAGTATAATGTATCCCCAAACCCTATTCTAATTAATAAGGCCCCTATATTACTGGGGTTCATACGGTTTTGGTGGCGTTCGGGGTTTTAGGGTTCGGGTTTGGCAACTCAGGCTCGGAGCTGTTTGAGTTCTCCGGTTTGGGACCTTTGGGGTCGGACGGTTTGGGGTTTAGGGTTTTAGGGTTTAGGGTTTAGGGTTTAGGGCTTTAGGGTTTTAGGGATTAGGGTTTAGGGTTTAGGGATAGGTTGAGCTGAGGCATGAACAGGTAGGGTTTTGGGTTTATGGGTTCCGGTGGGGTTCTTACAGAAACATGACAAAAAAAAACAAGCTCCATCGCCTTCACATTCGCATATGTGCTTGCACCACATTCTTGATGTATGTGCAGTGGACATCCTCATGTTTCAAGCCCGATGTCTATAAGGAGAACTGCCACCCCTGGATGTCTTCGGCCTCACACAACCGTTGATAAGATGATGCGGACATGTGCCTTTATGCTCCCTCATTCCAGGATGTTTATTCCATTAGTTACACTAGCTGATACTTGCAGTTCTTGTGCTGTCCATGTCCAAGTGAACTGTCAAGGCTGTTTTGCTGAGATCTGCAGATGTCGGATTTCTTGAAGCCAAGGCATACAACCACACAGTGACTTAGCCTTAGCCAGACCCCAAACCCTATTCTAAGGCCCGAATCTTTACCTCGTGACTGAATAACCTTCGGCTTGAGCTCAAACTTCTAGGACTCTAGGGTTTAGGGTTTAGGGTTTAAGGGTTTAAGGGTTTAGGGTTTAGGGTTTTAGGGTTTTAGGGCTTAGGGTTTAGGACCCTTTGGCTTGAAGCCCGGATAAGCCCTTGCAAAACCTTGTTCATTAGCAGTAGTGCCCTTTCAACGTCCCTCAGCAATCCTGTAAGGAGCCTTTGAAGGAATCCAGACTTGGAGGTTCATGGGTACTTATAAGTATGATTAGAAGTCCATTAATATTGGTTATAAGTATAGTTACCCTACTTATAATCCCATTTATAACTACCCATGAACCTCCAAGTACCCCCAGAATCTCAGAGCTTCGGACCTCCAGGAGCCTGCAGATACGGCCGAAGCTCCTGCCGATTTCGGCGAGGCGCGAACGCGAAAGCGAAAGTGTTGGAGGACGGTTTAGGGTTTAGAGTTCCGAGAGAAGGGGACCTGTTTAATACAGGTTTTGCAGGCCGTCAAAGAGCTATAGTGAACCACAGAAAGTTGGAACACGGATTTGGGATGATTTGTGATCCCTTATATATTGCTTCTAAGGGCAAGAGGATCACAATTTTCCAAATTCATGGCTACTACGATAAAGGGTTGCATTATTGCGTTAGGCGAATTTGAGTTTCGGGGTGCAGGGTGTTCTTTTTTTGGAAGCTGAAACCCTAAACCCGAAACCGAAGAAAAGCCCAAAATCCTAAGCCCAGACCCTCGCATCCTTGCACCATCAGAATGTAAGACAGATGCCCAAATAATGATCCACCTCTCTCCTGCTTGGAAACTTATTTATTCGGCCTCTATGTTAACTACTTGGAGGTTCATGGGTACTTACAAATTGAGTTATAAGTCCCCTGATGTAGCTTGTAACTATAGTTACCCTACTTATAACCCTACTTGTAACCAGACAAGATCTAGGTCGGAGCTCGGTTTCTTGTGTCGCGTGCACTAGTGACCTGGTTTGCTGCTTAGGGTTGAGGGTTTAAGATGGCTGCAGGAGGTTATAGATCAGCCTGCCGTGGAATGTATCTACTACCATCAACCAAAACAGCCACACAAAGAAAGTTCCCAAAAAGTCCGGATGCCTAAGTTTGAGTCCTAGGTCAAAAGCCTTGATGGCGTATGGTGTTAGGTTCCTACATGATGCGGCGGTTACTTGTTTGCTGGCTTGTTTCGTGAGGAGACTTGCGAACATGGCTGAATGGCAGTGTAGTTTGTTCCGAGAGACGTGTTGCTGGAATCCGTGCCTGCCATGTGCGAGCGTGCCACCCGAAACCTTACACTACATACATCCCAAGCCCCAAATCCGAAACCTATAAACCTTATCTTGTAAGCCAGTGCAGCCCCAGAGAACAACTAGCAACATCAGCCCTCTCAAGGTCCGTACGACCGTATAGATACATGAAAACCCGTGTGTGGACGCAATACAATCCTACCGAAGTCTTCGAAAAGCATCGTCAAGTCTCAACAGAGTGATAAATAATCTTAAGACTGCCCAAACCTTACGTAACCCCTATAAAACCCAGCCCAGGAGTTCTCTTCGGAATCCTTACTTCTCAAAGGATCCCCTTAAAGGAACAGGTTTAGGGTTTAGGAATCCAGAGATGTGCTGCGGGGGACATTGGCCGGGCGAGCTCCAATCAAGCCTGTGTAAAAAGGAATCCAGAGAGGCACAGGTGGAGGAACCATAAAACCCTTGCTGTAAACTGTTGGAGGTCGCCGAGGTCGTCGACACCCCACTGGCCGCCGACGGCTACGAGGATGAGGCGGTTCCGGGAGTGAGTCACTGCAGACTCCAGACCAGACATAAATTAAATTGGTTTAGGTTTATGGTTTAGGGTTTTCGGGCGTGATCCAATCAAGCCCGTGTAACAGGTGTTTATGCTTTAACGGTTTGACAAGAAAACAATTTGGTCTGGGTCCTATGGGATTTCAGGTCTCAGGGTTTGAAAATTTGAGAGCTTCGGGTGTTGAAGGGGACTGACGGAGTTTCAGGGCTCCTCAAAGGTTCGCCCTTTCGGGTTTTCGTGCTCTTTTTTGTCAGATTTAAGATATACCCGCCCTACCTTTCTTTGGGTTGCCTTCTAACTAAAAGATATTCGCCTGAAGGCAGGGAGCACTACAAACAGAGGTTGCTCCGTCCGTTCCCTTGAAGCCCATCCCCCATCATGAGCGATTGCTTCATGGTCTTGGGGTTCAGGTGGGATATGAATGTGGCTTCATAGGGTTTTGGTGTTGAGGGTCTTGTGGCTCAGAGCTTCACGCCTCCTCTCGATGTAAGAGCTGAAAACAGAGAGGTAATGTAGAAGCCTGGTGTAATGATCAACATTATTGCTTAGGGCTTATGATTTTTCTGCTTAGTCTTATTCTTATTATTCCTATAATTGTCATTATCATACAATATATCTCACAAGCCCTCATTCTAATTATCAAGGCCCTACACAGAGCGGGTCTTGAACCAGCCGGGGAGTTTTGAGAATTCAGGGCCCAGCCTGGCGGGATGAACACTGCCCTTCTTGATTGCCACTAGTATTATTACTACTACTACTACTACTACTACTACTACTACTTACTATGCTTACGACGACGATTAATATGATCAATGCTATGAGCTATATTATTTGTTTTTTCAGAATGAACCTTGTTATGAGTTATGAATACAGGTTTTTTGATTTTATGATGAGTGTCACCTGGACTGTTATCATAAGTAGTATTAGTACGCTTATAGCCGCTGCTTGCTTTAATTCTCATAACTTTGACAGGAGATGGATGCCGGACTCCCCGACTTTGCACTCCCCGACTTCTCCCTGCCGGAGGAGGCGCTGCAGACGATGTCTCTAGGAGCCTTTAGGGGTTTAGGGTTTCCCATGGTTTAGGGTTAGGGTTTCCCATGCTGGTTGCGAGAGTCCTGGATGCAAAAGGGTTTCCCATGCTGAAAAAGGTGTCTAGGGGTTTTCTGATTTAGGTTTTAGGAGTTTACTGTAGGGTTTAGGGTTCGGGTCTGTTGTATAGGTTCCGGGGATTATAGGGCTTAGTGGTATAAGCGCTACAGCAAGCCCACTGAAACTCAACACCGTGAGCTTTACTTAGCCTGGAATCCCTGTAGAACCTTCGGGTGAAGGATTTTCAAAGAACCCTGCACTCGTAACAAACGAGAATACAGCCGTAAATCCCTGCTTCACTCGATATGCCACTGTCTCGCGAAGCGTCATCTTGCCAGGGCGATGCTTGAGCACCGTTTGAGCATCATGCCCGGCAGCTGAGTGCGCTCTATGGTCCGTAAGGGAGAACGACGGAATGGTGCATGAGGACCAAGTATGGGGCTGTAAACGGTGGTGTAGATAAAGATGCGTTTGTATGCATGCATACATGGCATGCATACCTACATATGTTGACACAGAAAGATTGATTTCGTACTAGTTGCTGTAAAGCACATTCGTTCCTTCATTCCCTTCTGCGGCCCGGAGTGTGGGCAGGGCCCTCCACTCCGACATCCAACAGGACGTGGTGAGTTGAACAAAAGCATCCACATCTCGTGCATACACATAACATCTAGACACCTAAGCTCAAAGCATCAAAGCATCATTCTCGATCTGATGGGCAGCATTCAAAACAAGACATTGCAGCGGAGCTTCACAGGCAAGAACGCTTGGATGTGCCTGCGCCTGCTGCATTGCTCTGACCAAATACTGTTCAGGTTTCATGGTTAATTGCTCTTATGACCCTAAACCCTAAACCCTAAACCCCTCAACCAATAAACCCCTAAACCCCTAAACCCTAAACCCCTCAACCCCATTAGGATTGTTCTGGCTACGGGTTCCGTTCGCTGGTCCTCTTCCTATACCACACATACACGAATGTCATCCCTAAGCCCTAAACCTACTTTTTTGTAGGGTCCCTATAAATCCCACATTAGGGTTTGTAATAAGAACCTACAGAAAAGTGGGTTTGGGGTTCTTAAGGTAAACCCTAAAGCCTACATGGCTTGAAGTCGTGAACGGTACGGACGCGCGGGCTTAAGGTTTAATCGATGCTAAACTCCTCGGGGGAAGGGTTTAGGGTTGATACCCGGGGGCTTCCATAAGGTGGGGGAAAAGTGGGTCGGATGAAAGGTCTCGTTTATACAGGAATACTATGAAATAATCTCATAATTTGTTAGTCCCACCTGTGGGTCATTTGACCTCTTGATGATCAGTCAGGTCCATGTCGGTGCCGACAGGTGGCTCAAGCAGTCAAAGCTGCAATGCATGTGTAGGGTTTAGGACTTAGGGCAAGTCCTGATGCCAAAAGGGTCTTGATTTGATTTATTGCTTTTTCAAGTTGTTAGCCCGCGCAAGACCCCCCGCTCCCCCCCCCGCCGCTTATAGAACGCATGTAGCACGCACGCAGCACATCCGAGCGTGTTCCCGGCTGCTGACGTGTAGGTCATGCATCGTACCAGTACAGAACTTCGAACACCCTAAACCCTAAACCCCTAAACTTTAAACCCCTAAACCCTAACCCCTAAACCCCTAAACCTTTAAACCCTAAACCTCCAGACCCTAAACCCTAAACCCTGGAAGACTCTACACCCATCCTGAAAGGGAAATCCCTTCACGAACTCAAAAGCTCCAAACCTCTCCTTGTTTCTCCGACAAATTCGGGAGTTTCCGAGAATTAGGGGTACCTTATTTTGGGGTCCTTATAATAAGGATGTCACCTTAAAGGATCTCACCTTCTTTGGGGGTCCTTGTAATAAGGATTTCACTATTTAGGGTCCTTATCTTGGGGTCCTTATAATAAGGATCTCACCTTATTTTGGGGTCCTTGTAATAAGGATCTCACTAATTATTTAGGGTACTATACTACATTTCCCTATTTTCGGAAACCCCCAATCTGTCCTGGCCATGTCGTTGCAGCTCCGAAGGTGAGCTTGGATTTGGGGCTTGGGGTTGAAGTTGAGTTCTAGGATTCCGAGTTTAGGATTTCGGATTCAGGGGTCAGGGGTCAGGGTTGTGATTAAGTCTCGAGGGCGGCGGCTGGGGCTCTAGGCTTTTGCTGCCAAGCCGTAGAACGCGGGAAGACTGAGAGCTAGATGTCATGCGTCCAGGGTAGCCCCCGCCTCTTGTAACGTAAGCCTCAGAGCCAAACCCCAGTTTCGAAGACATCACAAAACCGTAAACCATAAACTCTCAGCCCCAAACATCGAGGCATTGCATCGTAAGTAATTACTTACCGTAAATTATGTTGACGACCCTTCTATACGGCATCTCGCAGGCATGGGTGCCTTCTCCTGGCCGAATGCAGAGCAGAGGCTGGCAGCACTCTGACATGTTCTGTGCGGGTATAGGGCTACGCGCTGTAGGGCTTTAGGTTTTAGATCGTTCAGGTGGTCGGGTCTAAGGCTGCAAGATTGCCCACGGTTTAGGGTTTAGGGATTGAAGGTTTAGGGTTTACCGACGAGAGGTCTATTTCTTGGCTTGCCGGGCACGACACTCAGCATCGTCTGGGATCACCGGTGAATCTAGCCTTAAGCCCTGGGCTCTCGAAGAGATGTGCACGGCAGTCTAGGCTCCAAACTTCAAGCCCTCAACCCCAAATTTCCAGATTTCTGAGTGCTTCTGAGCATCGAGAAAAGCCTGTAATGTGTATTTCTGTGCTGACGACTCGTTTCGGGCTTGGGTTTTAGAACTTCAGAAGGAGACCAATGATGAATATTGCCTCTTATGTCATGGTTGGAATCTTAATCTTAATCTTGGCGTCCCTATCACAATCCCTGTTAAGGAGGGGCGAACTGTAAGCGTCCCCGCCACTGCCACGCCGCCGTAGCATTTGCAGATCGCATACCGCATGCAAACATAAGCCCTGCATTCTCAACAACCTCGAGCCCAAATCCAAAAACTGTTGAACACCATACCCAGACAATGCGTGAGTTTTGTCAATATTAGGGACCCCAACACAGACCTCTGAGTCCACGAGAAAGAGAGGGACCGCAACAGAGTGCAAGGATACCTTTTGATAAGAGAGATTTAGGGTTTAGGGTTTTGGGTTTAGGGTTTAGGGTAGAGAGATTGCAAGTGTAAGCACCTCCCCCCTGCAAAGTTTCGAGTCTCCGCACAGAGCCGGAAAGTGTAGAGCTTAGGGGTTGGTAATGTTTGGGACATATGGGACTTCCGTATTTTGGGTCCTTAAAATAAGGAACCCATTATTTAGGGTGCTATATTAGGGTCCCCTTTTTTTGGCAACAACTATATGGGTGGTTGTCAAAATTAAGGTCCCTTTTGGGGTACCCTAAATAGTAGGTGCCGTATTATAATAAGGACCCAAAAAGGGACCCTAATGTAGAAAACTACCCATATTGACCGAAATCATGAGAACATTCCATCGACCGGACCCACCGTCTGATCGATCCGGAACATTGATTATCCCTAAACCCTAAACCCTAAACCTAAAACTGCAAGGCCAGGTCCCTGCACCCTAAGCCCGAAGCCCTAAACCCTAAACCATACAGGACCGGACCTAGCCTTTATACCCTGAGCCCTAAACTCTAAGCCTTTATACAGGAATTCCCCACCCCGCTAGGAATTCGAACCTGGACATGCCTAAACCCAAAACCCCAAACCGTAAACCCCTACAATTTATAGACCCTAAACTGGACCTGGGAGTCCATTACAAAGCCTCTGCCCTACCTCCCGTTTTCTCATGGAGTGGCGCTGGCGCCGACTGGCTGCGCTCGCTGCTGTGGCGATGTTGAGCTCGGCCGTCTTGGGAAAGGCGCGGTTCTGGGCTTGCAAGACTAAGACGGGTTCTTGGTGAGTTTTGGGTTTGGGTCTTTTTACAGGTTATTATTTTTGCTTCTTCAATCCAGAGCTTCATGCGGTCTTCTGTGGTGTTTTATATTGGGATTCTGTAGGTTTCTTGAACTTATAGAGTGTAGCGATGCCATTGCTGCGCCACAGCACATGCGCATCAGCCCATGTCATCATCGTCTGTTCCGCAGTGCAAAGGATCTGAAGGTATCTTTTGCCGTGCTGCATGAGGCTATCCCGAAACCCTATATCCCCAAACCCCAAACGGCATCGGCTTTAGCAATGATATACGTGGCAGGTGCCACTAGCATCGACGGCGCCCCTGGCGGGAGCGAGAGGTTTGGGTGTGCACATCTACGACCACTGCCCGTTTCCCGGCCAGGTCCAAACCCAAACTCCTGAAGGGTTTAAAGTTTAGGGTTTACGGCCAGGTCCACATTTCGTAGCAGCTTTCTTTCTTGCTCACGCTACAGTCATCCTATACCATACCCTCAGCCCTCCATCCCAAAACCCAGTTTTGATCATGCAGGCCCTCTATGTTGTCCAGACTGCCAGAGGTTTGGGTTTCTGAGATACGTTACGTAGGTCCACAAGTGTTGAAATCCCAAACTTTACTGCAAGGGTCATAGGATAGGGTTTAGCGTTTTGGGACTCAAGGTTTGTGGTGTAACAGTATTGATTGAACCGGTGGCTTCAGAGAGAGAGAGAGAGAGTTTATGCTTCGTGCGTGCTCTAAATTAGGGTCCAGCTGAGGGCACTTATGCTACCGTGAACTCCTGCTTTAATTCGGTGTCCCAACGAAGACAACCCGCGGAGAGAAAAGTCTTGCACAAATGCTTCTGGACCCTGAAGGTATGTACCCTGAGCTCTTACGGGGAAGCACCTTAAACCCTAAACCCAAAACCCTAAACCCAAAAGGTATTGCACTCGTGTGGAGCTCGTTTTGGGCTGGCATGGTTGGCAACCGAAGCGTCTGGTGCATCTCGGCGGAGATACCTTCAGAGTCCCACCTTTTTAGGTTTTAGGGTTTAGGGTTTAGGGCCTACTTGGAGGTTCATGGGTAGTTATAAATGGGGTCATAACTACGGTAACTATAATTAAAACCCATATTAGGGGACTTACATCCCCACTTGTAAGTACCCATGAACCTTCAACTACTTAGACCTTTGTTTGTGTTTGGTTCTTGCGTCGCTTCGGGATTAACAACATCCAAAATCCCAGACCCTCAACTGTATACTTGTGGGTCAAGCTGCTTCTTATCTTAAGCGCCGCTAGATTCGAACCGGACAGCCAGAGAAAGCTGCTACATTGCTTATCATAGGTAGGGTTCAGAGTTGCACGTTGGCAAAAGGCCTTTGTTCCGGGTCCTCCTGCACGCTTTTCCTGATCCCGAGTACGATGTTAGATTACGTTGTAAGGGCTCTGGCGATTTGGGTTATGTCTCGAAAAACTGGGCAATGCAGGTACGGCTACGCTGACGTGGCCGGGCCAACAGCGCTGATCGGCAAGAAGATGCTGCCGGTGCTGACTTGGCATGACTCCGAAGGGCAGGCGGGGTCTTGGTCAAGTTCCCAGGAGTGGTTTGGGAGTGGTCTCGGTGTGTGGAGCTGCTCGAGACGGAGGAAACATGGCAACACAGCACCAATCCAAGGCATTCCAATCTTCAAGGTCCCCTAAAACTTAAACCACCCCTGCAAGATGGGTGACCTCGAGCATGCCTCCCGAGTGTGTCAGAGTCGATTGAAGGCATGTTATCTTGAGTGCTTGATGGAAGCCTTCTGCACTCCTCTTGCAGGTGTGAATCTGACCCAGTAGCCGGGCTCCGAACTTTTCTGTGAGTTGACGGCCTTGTACCCACGGTACAGCTCTTGCTTCGAACCTTATGCTCCTCAGCGGTGAACATGAGTCTAATCCTCCAGTCTGATGCGTTGGAACACTTCGTAACGCCAGCACTTCGGTACTATATGACCACCCTGCAATGAGGGCTCTTTTACGGTTCGAAGCTCCCCCAACACCTTGCTATTTCTGAAATCATGAATCCTTGTCCCGAAGCCTGAACCCTTCTTCCTCTCGGTTTTAGACCCCTTAGAACAGCCAAAATACCATGGCCCTAAACCCTACAAGCCCCGCAGCCTGAACACTAGGAGTGAGCTTCGCCAGGAGCAGAAGATGTGCGAGTCGAAGGATATCATCGAAGCAGTGGAGTCTACGGCAGAGTCTACAAGAGGCGCCTCCGGGGTGCTTGCAACGTTTCTTGGTGTTCTTCTGGTTGGCTCTTAGGACTTTAACTTTTTGGGTTTCTATATGCACCATAATAAGGAGACTAAAGTTTAACTTTTTGGAGGGGTTCAGAAGTCAGCCAAGGTTTAACAGCGCAGTGGTGCTTGTAGGGCTTCTGGGTTTAGGGCGTTTCGGGTAGGGTGCAGACATGGTGGACGGTCTTGTTTGGGGTTTCTCAATTTGTTTTCTTGTGCGAGTGCCACTGTGTACTTCTATAGCGATACAGGGTGGGGGGCGATACAGTGCCCAAGATCCTGAACCACATTGCTGCAACAGGATTTTTGCATATCCGGTGTGCAAATCCGGTGTGCTGCGCAGCCAACATGGCCCCTATCCGATCGAAGCCCCTCATGACCGTTTGCCCAATTCGACCCACATATACGACAATCTCTGGGGGATTCGACCGTAAACCTTATAGACAAAAGCCAGAAACCACTACAGCCGTGGACCCCAGAAGCCATTGACCCACGAACACCCGTATGAAACTGTTCTAGTTTTCTATAAGGGCACCAATCCTTATCGTATCAAGGCATGAAAAGAAGGCGTGCAAAACCAGTTGAGCCCATTCTCGTCACACAACCCTGTTGGATAAACCCATTATAGCAATTATAGCACCTTGCAACCTTTTTAGATTTCGTAACCCCCTCCCCCCCACTCCCCGCGTTGGGAGGAGGTCGGCTGATCAAGCGCCGGACCGGCAGGAAAGACCTCAAGGCTTGGCAGACGAGGCAAGGGTTTAGTCTACCCTGAGGAACCTACCCCTTTAAGGATTCATACGAGGAAATCTTAGAGAAGGAGCCCTAGACAGGTAGGGCTGTCTCAGGCTGAGCGAGGGTTGAGGTTCGCTTCGGTGTTCGTCTGTTATTTGGTTTACATAGGCTTGTCTAGATGTCTGAGGGTTTGAGGGCTTAGCATTGGGGCTTACAGGGTTTTGCTATTTATAGAGGTCAGGATATTTAGCGATAAAACTCCTATATTTTAGGATTTGTGCTGTATCGGTCATTGTTGGATTCTATAGCATGTTGTACGGTTTAGTTTAGAGGTCTCGAAAACTACGACAAGTATCTCGTGACAGTGCCTACACGCCACACCCCTGTAGGCATGTACAAACGCGCCGAAAGAAGACGCCTTGGGAGGTCTTCTGTAGACACATCCTATCATTATCCTAGACCCTCCATCTACCCTCGAGTAGACCATAAATGCCCATTATTTGGGACCATATGCCCCTATTTGAGGGTACAAGGAGGGTCATGGATGGTCCAAGATAAGGAGGCGCCCAAGAAAGAAAGAGAAGGCAGATCGATTTGGGTAGGGCTAAGGTGCATAATGCAGGGGCCTGAAAAATTAGAACAGGGTTTTGGGGGTTCTTTATTATAGTTCTAGTATATTAACCCCCAAACCTTGTTCTAATTATTCATTAAGTCCCCTATGTTAAGGTTTAGGACTAGGGCGGGGTGTCTAAGAGGTTTCCGCTCAAAGGCGGGCCCTGAACGAGGCTGCGGCGAGTGATGCATGGGCTGACGAGGCCCCGACTCCTTCAGATGCCTATCAAGGATTTCGCCAGAGAGGACAGGGCTTGGGGATAGAAGCACGGTTTAGGGTTAAGGGCACGTGTGTGGCCGACTTTCCCAGCTGATGATCAGAGCCAGGGTTCAAAAAGGGTAGTTGAGGGCTCGAGGGGTATCAGGCTTTATTGCGAGTAAGGCTGTAGGTGTCTGAAGATGTCTGAACTGGCGTCAGGACCACGTACATACCCCAAACCTGGCCCCTGAACCCTGAACTCCGAACTCGAATAGCAACGCCGACCCCGTGAGGAAGACAGGAAGTACCAGATGGACAAGTACACTGCCAAAGGCTTCAGCTATGAAAGAGCACTGGCCGATACGGAGAAGCTGGCACCAAAAGTGAATACACTCTTGCTCGAGTTTGAAGAGCTCCTACGATCAGACAAAGCGCTGAATGCATTCGGCCATTCCTGGGACGACCTGTACGTGCTGCCCTCCCTGCGCGTACTGACCTGTGTGAAATCTCTTGTCTGGCCTACAAAGGTCCGAGCTTATGTGGAGCAGAACCACGCTGACGCCGGTGTGGCATGCTACTTCGAGCATGCATGCTGATACTCTGCGAAAAAGCTCCGGGCCCCACCGGATCTCCGACTTCACACCTGGACCTCCTAGCACTACCTGCGAATCGAAGATAACCAAAGCATATCGCACTCAAGCCCCTTGAATGTTGCTATGCCCACTGCTGAACCGAGTGTCGCCGCAAGGCACAGCGGCACAACTTCACGTCTTGCTATTTGCAGCGCGTCTACGGAGATCGTGGTGAGACAAATAGACTTGATTCGCCACTGCGACGAATTTCCAAATCGTTCCCTCAAGAGTAAGGACACTCCGTGAGCGACATTCACTTCCGCCCAGCACGTCCATGTTTGCTTTGCTTCAGGCTTTGGCGGAGTCGCTTCGGCTCCTCCTACACCGATAGATTCGAGGCAGGAGCTCCGGTGCATGCATTACCTGCACCGTTTTCGATGCACATGTCCTGTGTTGCATCTGAATCTGAAGTTCCTGCGCAAGTCACTTTCTGATGCCATGATGCAGCATGCTTGTCGAATCCTGGCTTTTGCAAAGCTGTCTTCCGTGTTCATTTCGGGCCAGCTCAAGCCTTAGTGAGACGGGTTGTGGATTGGGCTCCGTGGCAGCGGACGAGGATGGAGGTCTGGGATTCGGAGAGAGTTGCCGGGTGGGTGGTGGCTTTCTTGAGGACCACCGAGTGTTCAGAGGAGGAGTGCCGAGATGCTAAGCAGATTCTTTTGGAGGAGCGGGTTGATGGAAAAGCACTGGCTGATTCCAGCATAGAGGAGCTGCGAGCTTTGTTGCACTTGGCATATGGGCCTGCTAAGAGGCTCGAGACAGAGATTCGAAGAACGGTTGCTCTTGAGCCGGCTTCCGATGATGACTCCGACAGCGAGTGGGAGAGGGTGGACGGTCTGCAAGATGGACAGAGTGAGGGATACAAGCGAATCCAAGCGGCCCGCATGAAGAAGCAGGAGACCGAGACTGCTTCAACTGCCAGAGAGTTGCAGACAGCAGAAGCTCACGACGCGAGCTTCTGCTTTCTGAGACTCTCTGGCAGACGACAGCATCTCACGTGCGTAGGTTGCAGCGCTTCATTCCGGCCGTCATGCGGCGGCTTTAGCAGCTTATGCTTCATTCTATGACCGGTACTTGCAGGAGACAAACTTCTTCCCGGCAGTGGCACGGCACCATTACATCATTTGCTTGGACAGTTCTGCTACAATGGAGGAGAAGATCAAGCCCGCATCAGAGGCAGTGGTGAAGTTCGTTGAGGAGGCCGGGCGCATGACGAATGGACCTGGTTCGGTGATATCTTTGGTTATGTTCGATCACGAAGCGAAGACAACCCTCCGAGAATCCGCACTCATCCGGGGTGACGTCGAAAGGGCAATCCAATATACGGGTGGTGGAACAAACTTTACCGAGCCTCTAGTTGCAGCATTGCAGCTGGTGAAGGAGACCAAGGATGAGTACCACAAGCACTTTATCCTGTTGTACACTGATGGGGACGAGGAGTTCCCGGGTGAGGCTGCGCAAGAGGTGCAAAGTTTCAGGGCCGAATATTCCAAGAAGTTGGAGTTCTTTGCGATTTCCGAAGACTCCTACACAACTATGCGCAAGGTATGCTCTACACTCTATGATCAAGCAGAGGCCGGGAGCTGTTCTGGATTGGGGGTCTTCTCGTCTAAACCGCAGACGTCATAGTTAGTAGTTAGACTCATGGCTCCACAATCCCGAACATCTAACCTCAATATAATGTATGTAGATGTGCCTTTAAAGTCGACACCCACCGTATGAACCCTAAATCTACTGCAGACCTTTTCATAAGACCCCAGACACTTCCAGGTTGGAGACCACTGCGTGGAGAATATTCAACCACAGCCAATTGCCAAAGCCACTCCGTGGTCGAGTTTTCAAGACTTTCAACTTTCAGTTTGGGGATAGCTCATGGTGAAACTTGCGAGTTAGGGTTGGCTGTAGGGTGAGCCTTAAGCTTAGTTCGAGCCTTTTGGCCTCCGAACGGGACCAGCAAGGCCATGTCTGCTACGCTACGACGCATGAACATGGCCTATGTGAAGCAGTGAGGGAATTCGTAGGTAGCAGATGATGGCAGCCTGGAGGTAGTGGGGTTAGGGTTCAGGGTTTAGAGTTTAGGGTTTTAGGGTTTAGGGTTTAGGGTGCAGACCGGTGTGGGCTGGTAGCCCCACACTCCACACGCTCATGAAGCAAAATCTCAGTCTGCACTTTGCCGTGGCATGTGACGACTGTTCTTGCATGCCAATCTACCCATAGGCCCCATGGTAGTTCCTTTTGGGATTACCTTATAGCATTCTATATATGAACACCAAAGAGGAACTACTTTAGGGCCTATGGGTAGCAACCGCCTCACAAGTGCACTTCGCTCTTTTGAGGCCGCGGCATGGCCATCAGCTTCCCTCCTCGGAAAGCTTACAGACGAGCTGAAAACGGGCCGTGGGGGGCTTTGTGGGCGTCGATCGCTGCAGCTACCCTTTCCGTTTAGGCTTTAGGAGCCTGGGAAAAGCCTAAGACTGGCAGGCTTCTCCGCTTAGGTTTCGGGATCTCCGGACAGATCACGTCTGGTTTAGGGTTTAGGGGTTTAGAGTGTAGGGTTTAGGCCTGTTTGCAGTTTAGGGTAACGATTTGCTGGTGTCTTGTGAAGACCTTAAGATTCTAGCTTGCCGGCACACACCCAAAGCCCGTGCTGAAAAAGGGCTCGTGTCCTTTCTAGATTCTAGCAGTACAGTCCGTGGCGTACATCTCGCATGTAATTCGTTGCTGCTGTCTAGATTTTAGGATTCTCCGACTTCTTAATCGCGGATGCAAAAAACATCGGACATTAAGGTTCAAACGTCTACAGCAATGCAGGGTCAAGTCAGGTCAGCCCTACTTGTAGTCGCCATTGTAGATGCTTCTTGGTTAGCCAAAAGGGGATTATAGGATCCAAACCAAAAACAGCTTGTTAGCCACCAAAAGCGGGGACTTTATATAAGCCCCTAAACCCAATAACCCGAAACCCTAAACCCAATCAGTGCCATGACGCTCGGCGGCTTCTCTCTTCAACTCTTGGCTCATGTCCTGCGTAGGAGCTTAGCGCTTAGGGTTTTTAGGGTTTTCGAGTTTTTGGGTCAGGTGGGTTTAGAGGTTTAGGGTTTAGGGACCCTGAACCCCGCCGGAAGCGTTTTCTTACATGCCCCCCGCATCTTTGGCTCAAGCTTTCTTTGTCTCCATGCCAGCAGGGCGGAACTGACGGCCCACCCCGGCCAGCTACGTTTAAGGTTTAGGGTTCCCCAGACATCCTCATCCTCAAGCCTTTTAATCCTAAACATAATGCAGAGAAGCTGAGTAGGCAATATCCCACTCTTGTCGTTTTGTAAATTCCTGCCATACCGAAAAGTTATTCCACAATAGGTCATATATATATATATATGTACACACTCCTGCAGCTAAAGAACCCCTATACGAAGGTCCGTTTCTGGGTCCATGTACCTATATGACCCATGCAGTGTTTATGGTGGGTTCAATGTACTCTTCGGGTCAACATGTATACTATGTATACTATCGTAAAAGGACGTTCCGGGAATGATGAACAAGGTTTCAAGGTTGATGGTATTCTGCTGGCAGGAGCTTTGTGGCACAAAGTACAGGGTTTGCGGCCCAGAGTTTATGCTAAGGTCTATGCCCGAAGCACACTACTTTGACATGACTCGAAGCCCCTCCGGTAGGGATGGCAGATTCGTGAAGCGCCGAAAAGATCTATCCACCTCACGCCTTCAAACTGCAACCTTTGCGGCATTTAGACCTCCTTTCGCTAGCTCGGTAGCAACCGCTGGCGATGAGTTGCTCACGCGGCAGTGCGGAGTCAGATGAAGCTTGCCGGCATGTTCGTCGCACTTTAACACGTTCTAGGGCTTCTAGGGGTCTACAGGTGGCAGCGAGCATGCAATCCACCGAAGACTCGCGATCCCTAAGCCCTCAACGCTGAGACCCCAACCCTTGTCATGCACTGCGCATGAGCTTCGGTCCTGTCCAAGACTTCTGAAACCCTTTAACCCTTTGCAAGAAACAGCTGCCCGTGTTTAGCTGTTCTGTGACGGTTCATGGGGGATTTGAATTTGGGGTTCAGGGTTTTTGAATGTAGCGTTCTGTGGAGTTTGCAGGCTGCTTGCAAGAGTCCTGGATGCAAAGAATGTAGCGTTCGAGACGAGCCGCTGTTGCCCAGGAGCTGGGACGTGGCACCGACGGTGCACTCGTGCAGTCGCCTGACTGAGGGTGTGGGAACTTCGGTATCGCGTTTGAGGTTAACGGAGTTCAGGGTTAAGGGGGCTTAGGTTTATAGGGTTTAATGGAGGGTTCTGGGCTCATCACCGTCGGTCGTTCCGGCGTTTGGACTGAACAGCTTGGGCTCTGTGACTGAAGGCCGTTTCAGCTGCAGACATTTCTGTAAGCTAAAAGCTTTGGCCGGCGTATCTTCAGCAATTCGAGGGGGTACCTACTGCCGCCACTGCTAGTCGTCCTACTACTACTGCTGTGGCTGCTGCCGATGCTGCTACTGCTACTTCGGCCACTAGTTCTGCTGCTCCGGCGACGACGACTACGAAGACCACGACTACGACTGCAACTACGACGACGACGACGACGACGACTACTACTACTACTGCTGTTGCTGCTGCTGCTTGCTGCTGCTGCTGCTCCTCCTACGTCTACTACTACTACTACTACTACTACTGCTACTGCTACTGCTACTACTACAACGACTACTACTAGTAGTAGTCGTAGTAGT